AAATTCTAGAAAAAGGAGTCTGCGTTCATGATCCATTTAATGTAAGAGTGTTCATCTAAATAAATTGCACTGGCTTACCACATGTAAACACGTAGGACAAGAAAATACTGAAGAAATTTCCAAGTTACTCGTAAAGGCAGTTCAAAAAATGACGCGCATACTTACAAAATACATCGCCGTGACGGTTTCGCTCCAGCTGAGAAAAGTTTACTAAATCCTCCTCATGTTCAATCAATAGGTAATGAACAAATCCACTAGAATGAATAATTAATCGATGCAGATCAGAAAATCCGGTTGTTTCATTCGATTTTTGCTAAATCGCATAAAAAATTAGATTATTTCGCTCGAGCAAAACAATGTGCTGGGCGTGCTCGATTGGAAATTTACATCGTTTATGGCTTAAGCCGACTTGGCATTCGCGGCACGAACGCTGCCCTTCTTCCCTCGAAGGTTGTGTATATACGTAATAAGTTAACGAGGTGATGGCGCAGGCGAGTCAAGCCTCCTCCTAGCTCTGTCATTCTATCCCTCTCGACTTTCTATTCAGCGCTTTGCTCACTCCCCTGAGAACTGAAGTAGAAGAACTAGGTGGGGTGGGGGGATACTGCGTGCTTTACTTCACATTACTGCAGAAACATACAATCGGCCGGCACTTCTATTCGCTGTAACATACTGGGAAATAAATTTTCGTTTCGGCTAGAGGTTGTGATGTTGCTGCGCTGCTTCCACGTCAAAGACGAAAACCAATCTTCGCGATAGATTTCCTTTCATACTTCCGCGACTTGCCCCCCTCCTTCACCCTATTTCTTTTGCGAGCTCTTTTTATTCGCCACTTCGACAATCTTTTCTTGAATTATTAGGTTTTTCACACAGAGTGTCTTTCATCCAGTTCTGTTGCTATACACGCCTGGGTGCACCGACAACTACCCACTGAGAGTGCCATGTTTAATCGAATTGGAAAATAAACTGCTTTACTTCTTCTTCTTTTTCTGCTCTTCACTTGACAGATTCAAAGGTATTGATGGATACAGAAGTCAATCGAATATTTCAGCTTAGAAGCATCACTCCAACATCTTTTTCTTTTTCTTGCTTTACGAGATGTAAACGAGTGTAGTTGTTCATGACTTTCATATCTTTATCAAAAGTACACGTCTTGGGCTTACACATTTAATTTACATTCAATTGAAGTAAGTAATCAAAGCTTAATACGTACTCTGGCAAATAAGTTTCGGAAGCTTGGGATTATTTTTTTCTATCTTTGGTTGGTTCACAATCAATTATCAGTATAACTTCCTTTCCGTACCTACAAATATTTCTTCTTATTAATGCTCCTTAACTTTTGTCTCTTAATGTCAACGTCTATGTTTGGATTTTGCCCTTATGTACTTGTCTCTATTTTTTAAACGCAAATGCCTGCGCAAAAAGACTAAATAAATGATTTTGTGATTTTTGATAATTCTTTTTAGCAACCTTTTCTTAAATTCTGTTTTGATTAGGATTTTTTTTCTATGCCTGAATCTATATCGTCATCGCTTTCAGCTTTAAGTATTGATTTGCCTTTGTTTTTGTATCTATATTTTACTTTACTTTTTCTGCTACAGCCATTCAGTAATTTACATATTTGAATATTAAGTATAGTGACTTGTAATATTAATCACCAAGTTTCGTGAGTCTTGATTGTGGTGCTTTAGTCTCCATGTAACTGTCTCCATATCTACGTCTGCAAGTAAGTCCTCTTGATACTATCAGTCATAGCAGTTTATTTCTTTCAGTGGACCTCGTGATTTTGTCTTCGTAAAAGTGTTAGTCTCTATTTTTATGGTACGTTATAGTGTATTTATCGATCAGCTTTTACATTTGTCACTACGATTATATACTAAAGTTTCTATCTTTGATATTTTTACTGATACCTCTGTTTTAGCTTCATGCGTCTTTATCCTATGGTTGTCTTTGCCTTTGATTCCGCAGTTTTTTTTTTTTTGTCTTTGTCCTTTCCTTTGATTTTTGTATTGTCTTCCTACTGCTGCATTTTTTAATTGAGCTACTGCTTTTGTGCATTCGTTTCTGATTACTTTTCTGCACAGATACGATATCTAGCGTAATAATTTTAATACTTTAATTTTACTGGTTTAGTTAGACGGTTTCTCATTTTTCTTACATGTTTTTGCTCAATATTTTATCTATGTAAACGAAAACACTACATCTTATTTATGCAACCTTTACACTGATAGCAATTTTTTATGATACATACGTGTAGTTTTCATTTAACCCAGGTACAGTTTTTTTGTCTACACTGTAAAAAATACAATCGTAGAAATACGAGTCCACTTGTAAAAATATACTATACCCAGCGACGTAAAAATATCACAGACTAGTAATCTTACAAATTTTTACGTTAGTATACTACCATCATTGTAATTTAACTACGTGCAGCATTGAAAAAAATCCGACCAATGCTGAACGTTGTAGTTTTACTTCTCACGTTGTAGACTTTTTTGCTACGATCGTAGTAAAATTACTATCTGCAGATAGAAAATGCGTGAAAGCAGTAGTAAATCTACTATTGGTATAGTAGGATCGAAACAGACTAGTCTTTTTTCAGATTTCTCAAAATTTCCAACTATTCAACCTGTTCGCGTGTATTTTGGTATTTTCGTGTGCTTCTTCGATTGTTAGTCTAGTAATGTAACAAGTGTTACATTACTATTATAATAAGTTTACTATCGTTATAGTGAATACAGTATCAATTATTTCCATTCATAGTATTACAAGCCAAATAGTAGATTTACAATTGGTACTATACTATTACGAACGTGGTCGTAACTTTACAATATTCAGCATTGGTCGGATTTTTTCCAACGCTGAGCGTTGTAAATGTACGATGCTATTTTTGACAGTGTAATTGTTGCTTTTAAGACAATGTACAAGAAAAAATAATGTCACGGCAAATCATTTTTGCATTGCACATTTATTTCATTCCATAAAGTTTAGAATAGTATGGAGTACTCAATCTAAGGTGTGTGTGTGTGTACGCGCGCGCGTCTGTGTGTGTGTGTAATAAGTCATATCTCCGAAGTTCCTCCGGCTTTAACAAACCTTTGCTTATCTTTCCGAACATCTATCACTACTGAGAATGAGAAATTTCAAATTCATTTAACTTAATCGACTACGGATCCAGTTTTTTTGGTAACAAAATCAGGAAAACGGTAGAAAGTTCAAAATGTGGACATTTTGGTTTCTGGTCATAAAAATACACCAACGTTAAGCTTCAAGGCGTTAAATAAGCAGGAACAGTGTATGTTAAAATCAGCACCAGTTGTTGGCACCCGGGATTTTTCCCCAGCAATGCTCCTGACTCGACTTCACCCCCCCCCCCATAAATTCATTTATTTATTCATTTATTTATGACTCGGTCTGGAGAGTAGGTGCACTGTGGAAGTATTGACCCTCAACGTACTCTTCCGTTTAACTCACTTTGCCACTCCCTCCCAGTCTCTTTCTCCTCGAGGGTATGTACCCCCGTACAAGGTATTCCCAAGAGAGATTTTTGTACGCGTAACGCGTACCTATAGGTTCTTTCTTTACTTTGCATTTATGTGTATATGTGCGCCCCATAAAATATACATTGACATACACGCTGATACAGATATACATTCACTGGGATTTTACCAACTACTACGTCAATCTCAGCTCGCACGCGATTCGTTCCTTACATCCGTACGCGGCACCCCTCAAGTATTCTACGTACACCGCCTGTTTTCCTATTTTGATCTTTGTCAACTTCTACATCATTTCCCCAAAATCCCGTTTTTTCGCTTACACACGATATGTAGGAACTGGGAGTCAAACTACTAGCTGTCTGTCGCGATAAACGAAAAAGGCAAGTTTTGGAGCTCGACGAGGAGGAGCAAGGAGTTGGATGGTGGATTGGTTGGGGGACTTTGCATGCGAGGGCTCACAGGGTACACAGAGGTAGGTACAAGAGTCCTTACATTTACCCACTGTACGCGTGTCCATGTGCGTATTCAATCCAAGATAGGATTTTATTATAACTCGCATGGGCATTTTTTCTCACTGCTAAGAAATCATCATGACAACGAAGCAGGTAGCATTGATACCTAAATTCTTTCGATGATTACTGGTCAATTAGTTTGTACACCGGGTGATAAAGCCAACAACGGCCGCTATTCGTTTGTTTGACTTCGAGCTTGGGTAGACAGTGTTATTCATGAAAGGGAGCAGAGGCGATCAAAAGACAAACAGACTTAGCCGAAAGAAAAGCAACTGGCAGTAGCTCGACAAGTGTACACGTATACGTTCACATTGTGCAACGAGCAGCATCTCCGCGATAGCGAGTAGCTCTCCAGGGGGAGGAGAGCTCCCCCCGTCCACCCTGCTAAAACCGAAACGCTGTTGGGCCACTTAGCCGAAGGAATCCCCTGCGGCTTCATAGGTACCGCTGTCTCTTTATCCCGAGAGCCCAGGCAAAAGGGACGGGTCTAGTCCCCTGGCGAATTTTTAATAAGAAGCGAGGAAAATTCTTTATCTTTCTTTGCTCTGTTGTACTGTTGCCATGTTGCTGTTGTTATTACTACTGTACGTCAGTCCTTACAACTATTCTTTCAAAGTTCTGCACTGTTACGTAGCTGGATCGTGTCACTGATCGTTTAGTATGAAAACTGTACTTTGAGAACGAAATTTCGTCAAGAGATGATACAGCAGACTAATTTGTGAGGAAACGAATTGGTTGTCTGCACTTGAGGGTGTCAACGCTATTTTCCAATTTTTAGGGGGTCTGTTATTTTGTTACTATCATATTTACGAACGACTTTGCAAAAAAAATCTATTCAACATTACAAATTGAAACTTACATACTTTTATCATCCAAGTGAACCTGTACTTAGAATTAGGAGTTTTTTTCTCGAGCAAATTATGTTACACTTTTAAAATATTAGTTATGGTCACTGCGGTATGTACATTTAGAAGTAAGAAAAGCTTACCCAGTTGTCGAGTTGTTGTCGGCGCTCGAGGAGACGCTGTTGGAGCTTTGGTCCTGGGCCAGCGAGGAAAGCTCTTACGAGAGTACGAGTCCGGTCGAGGTGACTTGGCGCGACAGCCTCAACCTGGGCCAGATACTTCTGCATCGTGGTCTCCAGATGTGGCACCGGTAGGCTCGGTAGAGACTCTCCCCTCTGTGGACATATTGTATTTGCATCGTTACTTTGTACTTATAATTGAACAGTACAAATTATTTTTCTTCTTTGTTTTTTCGTACGTCTTGGTTCTCTGACTGTGTATTTTTCTCTTGCTTACAAGCATACCATATGCCAGCATACATTATTTACATAATTTTATAAACAGGGGCGCTTGCCCGAAAAAGTCTGCACTGGCCGGGAATCGAACCACGGTCTCCCGCTTGCCGACCCATGACTTAGCCGACTGAGCCACCGCGCGCTCAACATATATAATTCTAAGGCCACAGTGAATTGAACTAACCAAAGTGAATCTCTAAACTACATGAAAAATTATTTATACATTTCTTCGTTTTCCTATTTAACTTTTGACTGAATGGTAGTTATGATTTAAAGAACACGAAAATCTTGCTTTGTTTACAAAGTAATTGAGGTGAAAATACCAACACTTGAATACTTTGAATATTTAATATTAGTACCCTGAACAGCTTGAAACAAGTATTTTATTTTTATTTTGATACACCTATATATACGATAAAAAAAAAAGTATAATTCAGAGCAAGTCGTTTGAAAGTAGCTTGCAGATACTGCTCAGATTTAGGTACCTTTAGGTTTTGCCTGAACTTGAATGCATGAAAAATCAGCTTAATCACAGTCATGTAATAGTAATAGTATTTCACGCCAGTCGCTAGAGCTTTGTGGTATAGAATATTTGACATACATAGCTGTATCAAAATCAAGTTTTTTATTCAAAAGCGGTCTCAGTTTTTCTATAAACAGAAAAACATTGACTATTTTGGAACAATGCAACGGTTTGATTAGTATCGATTAAAAAAATTTATTAAAAATTGATAAAGTGTTGATACTGTCACCTTATTTAATACCAGCTGTAATTGACCGAATGAGTATATTTTTAATGGGATCCATTATTGAAATAAAATACCATTCTAGTTTGATCAAGATTAGAAACATAGTGACCCATAAAGACTGCAGGATTGTTTTGGGTTTATTTATACTATTTCGTGTAAAACTTGATTTTCTTTAGAATCTAACTATCCGGGTTGTATCTAAAATTTGTCTAATTTACTTATTAGAATAATTTATTAATTATTAATAAGCAATAATACTTTTGTAACCTTGTCAAAAAGAACTCCGTACAGATAAGCAAACAGTATCTTATGAAAACGTATCCGTGTACTGTCGATTATATAAAAATACAAAACATGAACAAAGTGATAGGCGGTATTTATTAGCTTAATGGATACATTGATATACCTATACATTACATGAATTGATATAATGGGGGTCGCTGTGGAAAATGAGCTGAAAAATTCGCTACGCAGCCGGTAGTCCATTAGCGGCTCGCCGGAAACACTATGTGCGTGCGTGTGGCAAGCCTCGGGTGGTTTTTGTACGTATAGCTTATACATGCGTGCGGCTGGTAGTCTATCTAGTATTATACAGAGCGTAGTCTATGTAGGGACGAGAACCCAGAAAGACCTTGCATTGAAGCCCCTTGTTCACTTGTTAAGGCCATCGGAACTCGTAAAAAGGGGGATCGTGAGCAGTCGAGCGTGCATGTGTATATACTGTACTGTACTGGCCCCCCTGTTACATACCCGTTTCTCGTCAGATGACGGACCAAGAGGAGGCTGGGAAGGAGACTGAAGGCTATGCTTCGTTATGCGATTGATTCTTTATTTTACAGTTGACGAGAGCTGTACACGACCAAAGGCAGAGAAAGAGAGAGCGAAAATATATAGTCAATCGAGTTATAGAAAAAACAACACACATAGATACACAAGAGTTCACCCTCGTGCGCGTATAAGTGCCCCCCCCCCAACGTAGGGGCCAAGGGCCCTTGTATATATATCGAAAAGGCAAGCCTTTTTTCGGGCTGCTGGAGTTCCTCGTTATCTTGCTCGACTGCATTTTTTAACGAGCGACTGCCTTATGTGACATCCATGAGCTTTGATGCAAAGTTACAACAATAACTTTGCTCAAAAATCCTTAAAATCTACTGCTGTCATGGCCCTTAAAAGTGCGGTTACTTGAAATTTGATTCTAATATAGTCAAAATATGGTCCTAAAATCGTTTTGTGCACAAAAATATCTCTACACCTGCGTGGAACTACGAATCATCAAAATTATATCATCATAAACGTCATGCCTACAAGATGTTATGTTCGCTTACTTAGGTATTGATTTACAGTAGAACAGTATTCTCCAGATATACATTATCAAAAGGTATATTTTATAACGCACCAACCTTTCAAAATAACCTAAGGTAGGAAAAATAGATTTTCCGCCCTCGGGTGGTTTTGGAAGGCTGGTACTTCCTCGGGCAAAAAAGCAGTTTTCCGATACTCGTTCGAAACGTCTCCTTTACGAACCTCGTTACGGACCTCGCCTTCGGCTCGGGCTGTAAACCTCTCGGTTCGCAAACAAAGACTTTTCAAACTCGTAGGAAAACTACTATTTCCTACTTCGGGCGTTTTTGAGGGTGTGGTGTGCCCTCAGTAAAAAAAATAGGGTTCGCACCAGGTGCGCATCCAATCAGAGCAAGCACAAGGAGTCCCTCGGGCCTGGTACTTGACCTGGAAACTTGCGCCACCAAGTACGAAAACTACTATTTCATAGACTTTTCCACAAATATTCTGGACTTCGTTAAGTTCTGTATCTTGACCTTAGAAGTCAATGTTTAAGTTTATTTAATTTACAAAATTCATACCATAATCTTTTTAATCAAAAACTAATCAATGATAAACCTTATTTTAAGTAGCTCCACATGCATATTACTTGATAGTAAAAATTCTTTGGTACATTTATAGATGTAAAAATAAATGGTAGTTTTCGTTGGATAAGTGACATAGTGTTCAGGTTTATTTTGCGGCCCGGGGGACCTGCGAAGCAATAATATTTTTCATCAGATAAGTGCCATCGTCCCTGGGGCTATTTTGCGGCCCGAGAAACCTGCGAAGCTGGGCCCGAGGGACGTAAGGTAGCCCTGCAGACGACAGCACTTACCCGACGAAATGGTAGTTTTCCTACGAGTTTGAAAAGTTTTTGTTTGCGAACCGAGCCGAAGGCGAGGGACGTAACGAGGTTCGTAAAGGAGACTTTCCGAACGAGTTCCGGAAAACTGCTTTTTCGCCCGAGGAAGTACCAGCCTCCCAAAACCACTCGAGGGCGGAAATGGTAGTTTTCGTTGGATAAGCGCCATCGCCTCTAGAGCTATTTTGCAGCCTAAAGATCTGTAATTTTGTCTCGGAGGAATGGAGCTTATGTGGCGAATACCATTTTTCCTACCGAGAGCACACCACCTTCTCAAAAACGCTTAAGGTAGGAAATGGTAGTTTTCCTACGAGTTTGAAAAGTCTCTGTTTGCGAACCGAGAGGTTTGCGGCCCGAGCCGAAGGCGAGGTCCGTAACGAGGTTCGTAAAAGAGACTTTTCGAACGAGTATCGGAAAACTGCTTTTTTGCCCGAGGAAATACCAACCTCCCAAAACCACCCGAGGGCGGAAATAGTAGTTTTCCGCCCTCGGGTGGTTTTGGGAGGTTGGTATTTCCTCGGGCGAAAAAGCAGTTTTCCGGTACTCGTTCGAAAAGTCTCTTTTACGAACCTCGTTACGGACCTCGCCTTCGGCTCGGGCCGCAAACCTCTCGGTTCGCAAACGGAGACTTTTCAAACTCGTAGGAAAACTACCATTTCTTACCATGGGCCTAAAGTGCAACTGCCGCTTTGCGTCTTCGGGTCACACTTTGGGTCCACGGGCAGAAAAGTTATTCACACCCTCCAGGCCCATAGTACTTTTCTGCCCTAGTGCCCAAAGTAATTTACCGGACGCAAAGTGTGCCCATGGGCGCAAAATTGCACTTTGCGCCCTCGGTAAGAAAAAAATTATACGCGACTCGGGCACCAACCTACAACAAGTGCGCCCTTCGGACGCTCATGTTTGTACTTTGTGCCCTAGTGACGTAATGTACCATTTTCTACCTTGGACGTTTTTGAGAGGCCGGTGGCTACATTACGTTCCTCGCGCTGCAACATAGCCCCAGAAACGATGGCACTTATCTGACGAAAACTTACATTTCCTACTATGGGCACAAAGTGCAACTGCCGCTTTGCGCCCACTCGGCCCAAAGTACTTTTCTGCCCCAGGGCCCAAAGTGATTTTCTGGGCACAAAGAGTGCTTCCGAACTCAAAGTTGCACTTTGCGCCCTTAGTAAGAAAAACATTACTTGAGCACCAACATACAACAACCGTGCTGTTCGAGTGCTCATGTTTGTACTTTGTTATTAAATTACACGTTCTGCTCTGGCAAACGGTGAATTGGTCATGCCTTCAATACTAGTTCTAACGTTTTGCATAAATTTAGCCGCTTGTTTTATTTTGCTTATTTGCTATAACGCTTTTAGTTTGTCTCGTCAGATTATCAGTTATGCAAAGTTCTGTTGAAGTTTACTTACTGAAAATATTTTTAAAAAATAATCAAATTTTTCCCTTGAAAGGTAGTGAAAGCAATTTTATTGAATCAAACGATTTTCAACTCAAAAAAATTAATGCACAAAGTTTTTATATATACTGACAGTGACGTATATATCAATAAAAAGACACATATATTGTGGTGATCGTTGGGGGCCTTTAAAAATAAGATTAGGTGCTGTAGAGGTTAGATACTCATGTTAATATGGAGTTGCTAATTTTTTCTTATTTTTCAATGGGCTGTGGGAGGTATTTAGGGGCTCATGGAAAATTATCGCCTTTCCCATCACAATAATTATACAATATGGGAAGATATTTGTGGCTACGGTAGCACAACAGTTCAGGCTACGGTTTTTATAGCTCTCGGGCTTAATAACGAGTTTAAGATTTAACCCTTGCTCACTTAGCACGCACCTCTGGAAAACCAATTGTGCATAACGCTAAGTATTCTAACTGTGGTTCCATAGTTCGGAAGCTATGTAAAATAAGATATTCCCATTGTTATACAATTG